GCATTCTTTAAGGTTAAGCAGTAGCGAACCCATGAACTGACAATGCAGCCCGTATAAAAAGGAGTTGCCCCCTGCTATGTGGGAAGAAAGTTTCTTTGTTCTTGCAGCCAGCTTTCCCGGCGAGCGTCGAAATATTTGGTCAAGTTTGTCAAGGGTCTGCGGTTATACTTCCGTTGAGGTGTCACAATGGCAGCGATGATGTACTGGATCGCGCTGCTGGCGGCGGCTTCGACAGCCCTAGCTAAAGCCTCCACTACAACCTCGTTCGAGCTCTGCAAGACCGAATACGCGTCCACGTCTTACAGCACGGTCAGGACAGTCAACAGTCTTTCTACCGCCACGAGGTAGGTATACCCATCTGGTGCGCGCTTAGACGACTTTGCAGTTTGAGCTTAAGCTAACTCTGCCTCCAGTGTTGCCGTCCTCACAACCACGTCAACTCCCACGTTTACCTCAACCGCCGCCGCGAAGACCAGCACCTCAGTGGTGACCGATACTGTCTCCGCGACCACAATCCTCGACCAGAGCACAAGCACATTCTCCACCACCATCACGTCCACTATAACCTTGACGGTCCAAGACATCGTCACGGACACTGAGACCGTCACCAGTGATACTACAGTAACGCCCCCCTTCCCCTTCTTGAAGCTGTTCAAATCTTTCAAAGCTTAACAATCAATAGATTACCTCAACACCCACAAGCACCGTGCCCGCCCCCGCCGGATTCACGCCTGCCTCTGCCCTAAGTCAATCCTCCGCCACCATCCAAGGGGTCAAACAAACCGCCCTCGTCAAAGCCAACGGCGCATCCACCCCCCAGGCGATCACCATCCACGCCGCCCAATCCACTGCGATCGTAGAGGCAGAACCCAGCTACGCCAGCGTCGTGACCTGCGTCGGCCTGGTCGAGATCCTCTCCACCAGCACAGTAAACAAACCCGCCACCCAGACACACACCGTAGTCGTGACCCCGTCCGCCAAAACAACTACATCAACCGCCCACATCACCACAAGTAACTACCCCAGTTCTTCCCCTCTGCAGAAAAATACTGACACAGAGAAGCAATAACCCTCGTCCCCGTCCCCGCCTCCACAACCCTAACCTTCACCACCAACTTCCTCAAATCCACCGCCATCGTAACCACCACCACCTCCACAGAGGTAACCCGCCCCTCCCCCTCATACTATATACTACACCTGTATCTGCATACTAAAATCAACAGACCACAACAAATACAGCAACAGTCCAAGCCCCCGCCCAAACCCAATACGCCGCCTGCGGCCCCGACAACCAGATCACCACCGTCAACGGACGCAGCATCACCGAGGTTGTGGTCACGGGAAACTACGAGACTAATTCAGCGTCGACGCCGTATGACTGCTGCGTCGCGTGCATCGACCACTCCACCCCGTGTGCCGGGTATCTGTCGGCAGAGGGGGCGGGGTGCTACCTTCTGTTGCCGGGGGGTACGAACAATGCCACGTGTAGCCCCTCGAATCGGGATACCGCGTCGGTGGATTTGGGGAACGGGGTTGGGGGGTTCACGGTGGGGAATTCGGGGTGTGGGTCGTTTAGAGTGCGGGAGATTTCTTAGTATCGCTGGATAGTGATCATAGGGGGTTGGGTGCGTATATTGATGCGGTATATTGCTGTCAGCTATGACTGGAAATGCTAGCCATGTAGAGAGCGAACGGCGAGGAACACCACTCCACATGATTTGTCAGATCGTCACCTAGTAGATACCTCAGGATTCCGGTTCATTTCGTCGGTTTCTAGGTGCTCTTGCAACCTTTCCGCATAGTCCGCAAACACGTCCTTATGCTCTTAGAAAGCCGCATTCAATATATCCAGCAGACTCCCCCGACCTCCAGTGATGCCGCGAATGGCCGGATTTGCACCTGCGGCGACCACAAGCTTGATGATTCAGCATGACCCCCACCCCCAAGGCCGCGCTATAGACGAGCTCACTGCCCTGATACTCCCCGTCCGCAGCCCTCACACTCCCCGTCGCGAGGAGAAGCTGAACAACTCCAAGATGCCCGTGGAACACCGCTTCTGTGTCTCTGGTAGGGGTTGTTGATGATCCCCGGCCTCGCCCCGGCGGCTAGTAAGAGCTTAACAACCGCCGCATCGCAGGTAACAATGTTGCCAGGCCGCCGCTAGTCCAAGCCTGGCCTAGTAGCGGGCGGCTTTCTCTGTTCGACCAGGGTTAGAACGCTCCAGCCTGAGGCAGAAAGGTCTCTAGCTGCTGCCTCAGGCTTCAAGGGCAAGGCTGATGCGGAGCAGAGTAGTTCTACCGGTATAGTACATCAACGCAGACGCTCAACTTGTATGGTTAGCTCGCTGCAACATTGAACTTGCCCCCTAACTAATATAGATCAGTCACAATAGTCGACCCTAAGTCCCTTCGCGTGAACACTTTCAGATCGTGGCAGTGATGGTTCAGCAATAATTGGGGCTGTACCAAGGAAGAAAGACACTGTGGACAATATCCCAACCTGCGATGAGCTGACCTCAAGATTCCAACAAGAGTAGCCATATTCAGACCACATCGGGGTCATTTATTTGAAGGATCGCAGCTCTACATTCAAATACTGAGTATCTCAATCCGAGCATGAGAACTGTTTCAGGCAAGGTGGCGGAAACGTGCAGGGGCAACTTCAAGCAATTACAAAACTAGAGGCCGTGGGCCTTACGGACATCCTATTCGGCCACGGTGTCTCTGCATCACCTCAGTGATCATCCGACCATCTGACCCCTCTAATACTTGGTTGAGTGCCTTTCTGCCATCCACGCCATAGACATCCAGATCCGCTCCGGCGACACGCAGAAGATCAACGATCTCAACGTGTCCCCGCTCAGCGGCTCTGAAAACCAGCGGAACGCCTGCCTTATCCCTGCAATTGAGATCCACCCCCTCGACGGCAACCAGAAGCCTGACCACTTCGGCACGCCCGTCCCATACCGCTCCCGGCAGAGTCGGGTCTGGTATCTCGGAGGGGACGACAAGAACTGGAAAACGTGGAGATTCAGCCACTGGCGCACAACCATAGACAGCTGCTTAGAACAAGGCTGTGCCCCCCCACGTATCCCGGTCATTGACCACAACCCCGGCGCCCGCATCCAGCAAGAGCTTCACAGTCTCGGCATCCCCCGATTGCGCCGCGTGGGACAGCACCGTCCTTCCCGTGCAGTCCCGACCGATGGGTCTGGCGCCTGCAGCCAGCAGCATTTCCACCGCAGCGGCATTGCCCACCCTGGTGGGAAAGAGTAAGATGGGGGTTCCGGCATCATCCCGCGCAGGGACCGTGACCCCACGCTCGATCAGTTGGCGGACCAAGGCATAGTTGTGGTGGACGACCGCCGCCACCAGCGGCGTCCACCCCGCGCTGTCCCGCGAACGCACGTCCACCCGCCCCGTGCGGAGCAGCTGTTGCACGATCTCGAAGCGGCCGTCCTGCGTCGCCCGATTCAACGGGGTCGTGCCAAGCCCATCCGCCAGATCGGGGTCCACTCTCTCAGACGCGAGGAGCCTGTCCACGACGCCCGCAGCGTCCCGCTGCACCGCCGCATGCAGAGGCGTCTTGCCGAGGACGTCCGCCGCGTTCGGATCCGCCCGGCCATCGGCAAGCAGCAAGTCAACAACGGCCTCGTGCGCGCCCATCACCGCCACGAACAGCGTGGTGTGGCCCACCGCGTCCCGCGCCTGCGCGTCGACGCCCTCCCAGCCTAGCAGCAGGTGCACGATCGCCGCCTGGCCCGCGCGCACAGCCGCCAGAAGCGGGGTGTCCCCGGCCTGCTGGATGCGGACGTTGACATCGGCCCCCGGCCCGTCGACCGCCGTCAGCAGCAAATGCACCAGCTCCGCCTGCCCGGGCGCGATCGCCTCGTGCAGCGCCGCAGCCGCGTCCGCCTGCATGTACCGCGTCTCCGGCCGGTGCATGCCCGGCGTGTCGCGCATGATGGCGGTCCACCGCCGCGCCGTGCCGAGCTGCTCGACCCGCGCCGCCCACAGCAGGTTGAAGCTCTGGTCGTAGTCGGCGCTCAGCCGGTACAGGTACGGGTTGAGCTGGCGGTGGAGCTCCCGGCTCGTGCGCGCCAGCGCGTTGATGTCGGCGCGGTGATCCAGCGGGGCCACGATCATTTCGAGGATCTCCAGCGGCATTTGGGGGAGCATTTTCGCTTTTGACTCGTACTCTTGCGTCTGTGGGTTGATATCGGATCTGGTTCTTGGGATTGGGTGGGTGGTTTGTCCGGCGCTCCTGTACCGCTTCCCCGCCCACGACACAAAGTGTCTTTGGACAGGTCAACTGGTGCCTGAGGTGTTGACTTCTCGCTTCCGCTACTGCCAGCACTAAGCCTTTCAATGCAAAGTGGTAATTTACGCCTGTTGCTTATGCATGACAGCTGCCCTGTACAGTACAGGTGACAGGAATCAGTATTCTTTGAGTAAATAATTGGCTAGATTAGTGACTTCATCTATAGATATACACATGTATTTGGCTGAGCGGTGCTAAACTTTTTCTCGATTATAATCCCTTACATAGGTACTTCCGTGAGCAGCCCCCTCCCCCCCCCCCCCCCGGTAATATAGGTTGTAATTATAGAAAAGGCCAACATTGCTGTACTAACCTGGCTGTGGATCTAGCATCGCCGCAGTGGGGCGAACTTACTTGGAAAGAAAAAGAAAAAGGACTATATCAATAGAAGGAGGGCTGTCGCTATTTGGTATAATCTATATAGAGAGTCCAGACCTTCGGTCTCTAGTACCACAGCTCTGGGGATGTAACGAGAATTAAGATTCGTTCAAAACAAACAATCGGGTTTGATTAATGTCTTCACATATTTTGGGCGGAGCGGTACCACACTCTCATCAATAAGTCTTATCGTACCTCCCTAAAGCCTTACAAGGTCCCGTATACAATGCTCCAAGCTAGTAAGCTTAAATCATTACTGCTGTGAACAGAGTCCAGTTTGCCAATCCTGCCGCGCTAGACCATCAAGTAACCTGGAAGAGAGCCTTGATCTCCCGCTTTGACCTGGCCCGTGCTAGATCCAGCGGACTCGATCCTAGCTTGTTGCAGATCTCCGGATCCGCCCCCGCGGCCAGCAGCCGCCGCACCACGGAGACGTGTCCTTCCACGACCGCCATATACAAGGGGGTACATCCCTGACAATCTTGCAGGTCCACATCGACCCCCTCCGCGTCGAGGAGGCGCTCCACGACCGCCTCGTCGCCCCCTAGCGCCGCGTGGAACAGCGCCGTTTTCCGGTTGTTGTCCCGGCTGTTCGGGTCCGCGCCGGCCGCCAGCAGCCAGTCCACCGCGACAGCGTTCCCGAGCACGGCCGCCAGGACTACGGGCGGGCGGTCGACCGGCCAGTCGAGCCGGACGCGGCCCGTATCCAGCAGGAGGCGGAGGAGGGTATTCTGGCCGCTGTCCACGGCGGCGTACAGCGGCGGATCGCCGTTGCCGTGCCCGTGCCCGTGCCCGTGCCCGTTCTCGGGATCCGCCCCCGCGCGGACCAGTACCTCCGCCGCCCGCATGTGCCCTGCGTTCGCGGCGATCCACAGGGGCGAGCTGCCCTCGTAGTCGCGCGCGTCCACATCCGCCTCCGTCCGGGTCACCAGCAGCCGCAGCACCGACACATGGCCCGCCTCCGCCGCCAGCGCGATCGCATTGCACCGGTAATAATTCCGCGCGTGGACGTCGACCCCCTCCCAGCCGAGCAGCAGTTCCACGACCTTGCGCCGGCCGGCGCGGACCGCCGCCAGCAGCGGCGTGTCCCCGTAGCGCACGCCGCTCACGGCATTCACCTCCGTCCCCGGGACCGCGCGCAGCAGCCACCGCACCAGCTCGGGCTGTCCGTGCTCCGCGGCCAGGAACACCGCCTCGGTCACCGTCGCTCGCATCATCGCCGGCAGTTGGTCCATCCACGGTGTCTGCCGCACGATCTTCAGCCACTTCTGCGCGGTCCCGAGGCGGCCGTGGCGCGCGGCCCAGTTGATGGCGGACTGGCCGTGTAACTCGGACTCGGCGGCGGCGGCGGCGGCGTCGGGATACGGTAGACCGGGAGGGACCAGGTGGCGGTAGGCGTTGAGCCGATACAGACGCCAATTCAGTCGACTGTAGAGGGATCGGGTGGTGCAGACGAGGGCGTTGAGGTCGGCTTCGCGGTCCAGCTGCTCGGCGATCATCTGCACCAGCTCCAGCGGCAGGTGGGGCAGCATTGTTCCTCTTTTGTGGACTTTGTGCTTGGCCTTCTGTTGTCTTTTTCCTAGTCGTGATGGAGGATGTAAAGAAGTGACGATTTCAGAGTGAGGCTTATCTGAGTGCCAGTGCCAGGTGCAGTGAGGAGAACTAACTAGGTAAATACCTACCTAGTACTAGTCAACAACACTGACCATGAGTGGCTGGCGGTGAGGAGTCTGCTCCAGTTCTTACATGTGGTTGCTTTTTCTTCGGTGTTGAATGGTGTAATTATGACACCTCCGGCCATTCATTCCTGTCCACGGTTTGAAGTGGCAGGAACACGAAGTCTCTACCCGCCGCAACGTCTACCGCGTCCGAATCAGGGTTGTGGTTATGCACTACAGCTCGGAGAAGTAAAAGGAAAACCTCCGCTGTTATATAATATGAATCACGTGTCAACACTACATATCTCTCGTTTGATGACAGCCGAAAAAGGACAAAGTCCACCAATCCATTTAAGCAATTACTACACGAGATGCAAGACCTTTCTAACAGAAAGACATCGGGGAAAAATGAAGAAAGAGGAGGAGGAGGAAGAGGGGAAGCAGCCAATAAACTCTCATGTACTTGGTAAGGAAGCCCTGAATAGTTCATTTTAGCCGATCACACCTCGTGTCCAATATATCTTGAAGTTGAGTAAGTAGAGTAGGTATTCAAGCTAAGCGTCATCGTTCGACCTATATAGGTCAAGACTCTGAACACCACGGGGACTCTTTCTGACGGCTTGCTTTCACGACCGTGCATTCTCATTCTATCCTAGCTGCGACGCACTAGGACGGATACAACTGTCCCAGGCGCTTCAAAGTGTCTCTGGCTGCGGCCTTCCACTCCGTCTCACGGAAATCATACGGCCAGCCGTACTGCTCCTGCAGGACCTTTTTGATCATTGGGTGCTGCACAGATCTGAATAAGCAGATGTTCGCCTCTTCACGAGCAAGAACCAACATGAAAAGCAGGGAAAGACCACACACCGCACTGTGATGCTCCTGTTCATAGAAATTGACGCAGCTCCCCTGACCCCCGGGGATAATTTCCAACGATCTGAGCTTGTCCACATACTCCGCGAAAAATGCTGGCGCATGCTGGGCCGGAAGCGCTCGAAAGTCGGCATTGCCGTCCTCATCCTCCAACTGTTGCCAATCAACCGCTCGGATCGTATCTGTACTGGTTGTTAGTCAGAATTCACCTCCGGGGTGGTGGTCAGCGACAAACATAACGCCAGAAAGTTGACGACAATATCACATACTTTCTTGTGTATCAAGAATAAGGTGGATCCCTTCATCATCCGCGCCCGCGAGAGCGATCTCGTGCGGGAGGAGGAAGTCGGTTCGCGGCGTGTCGAAGATCCAGCGACCCGGGTCGCGACCGTCGCGAATCTGCCGGTCCTCGATGTACGCGAATGCCGTGGACCACTCCTTGAAGGGGAGCTCGGCCGCGATGTGGTAAGAGACCGGATATGGAAGTCGTCGCATCAAGGAGATCACCTTGGGACTGAGGTTGAGCTCTTGGCAGATGGCCTCGTTGATGGCATGGCCCCCGGGTGGGGGCCAGGCTATTTCCTCCATGCCGTCAGCGCGGTTGTTCATGTAGCCCAGTTGGACGTAGATGCGGTAGATATCGCTGACGAGGGTGACGATTATGTCCTCGCTGTATGGAAGTCGCACGACGGGGTACTTCTCTTTCTCCTTCTTTTCCTTCACCTGGTCCGGCTGCTCTGGGTGGCTCGGAGGTGGAGAGAGCTCGGGAGAAGATGTAGGAGCCGGCATGGGGAGGCTGGCCATCTCTGGGGGTGAGATCCTCGGGTCATGATGGCGGTTCCAGATGATGGAGACGAGGATTATGACAAAGAACGAGATGAGGAGCTGAATGCTCGCGCTGAGAGATACGGCGCAGACAATTGAACAGAAGTGCATTCTGGACTAATGTTGTATTGATTGTGGAAGGAGGGATTTGTGCGAAGGGCACTCAGGGGATTGGAGTTGCTTGAAAAAGCCCGACGACGCTGAGACGCGCTCTTCCGGCCTACTTTCTATGTTATGGTAAGGAGTAGTGTAAAGCTCATTTAGCGTAGAATTTAGCGTACATGGGCTCATAATTGAAGGGGGCAACTAAGGGTCTAGTCGATGGGTAGTCTCAGGGACGGATTGGATCTCATTTGATTTTCATTACCGCTAATCGGCTGGCACGTTCATTCAGATGCAGTGCAGGATAGTCTGTTACACTAGAGCACTGTAAGAAAAGTGAAATACCCATAAATACCCGGTGTACTCGTTGAAACCATGTTGGCGATTATGATCTTTCTCTGTTGACTCGGGTGCTTAGTAAGTTGTTTGGCTGACTTGAAGCAAACAGAATAAATGACCCCAGTAAGCACTAAGCATCAGACTTACCCTCGTTGAGCGTAGAGCGCCAGGGTCTGTCCGGGGTCTCGTGCAAACCGGGGTACAGTATTTTGAGAATCGGCCACGCCACACCACGCAATTTCAGGTCAGTCAGTTCCTACCATGTTTTACTGGGTGTAGAGCATGGCTGCGAGAATAAGCAAGTTTCTAGACCGGACTGTTGTACACACACTCCGTCTTTGAGGTTGGCACCCCCGGCTACCATATCCGCTCACAAGCCCTGACGCCATCAGCGCAAAGGTTGGCCTTCACGATGCAGTTTCTAGAAGACTGGAAGCAACTAGTCAAAGAGGCTTCAGTATTGTGGCTGCCTCCAAGCTTCCGCTGTCCGATTTTCCGTGTTTACGCTTAGGATAAATTATCTACTAGGCGCAGTAGCTTGTTTCATTCTAGTCAGAGCAACGCTCAACTGGAACTCATGGAATCCGACTTTTCATAGCGTCCGCATGTAAGCCCATGAGCATCTGTGCCCCGTGTTTCGATGTCTGCACTTGGCATTCAGTGCTTGGACCGCCGCCAAGCACAAGCTCCGGGCCGTCACCGGTCTGTGCAGTGCGTGATTGGCAAGCATAGATAGCTCAATATGCCAAGATATGCCTTAGGTTAGCTACCACGCGAACGATAGAGTTGATAAGGCTACGGGGAGTAGCCACCCTTAGCACAACATTGCTATAGCGCCGGGGTCTTGGCATACAGGCGTGATGTGGTTTTGCCATGGCGGTGGCTGGGAACGTTGAAGCTTCTCGCAACTTGATGACTTGCTGTCACTGTTGCGCGAGTAAACGCTCTGATAACTGGCAATGGATCCGAGGCACAGCGTTGAATTGGACTGCCTACCCGATGCGGGGCCGGCACACGAAGACGAGCCCCTCCTTTCACCAACCACAGCAACACGATACCCCGCTATTTTAACGCCAGGGATCTGTATCGCTAATGAAGACGAGAGTGAAGCGGAGAACATAAAGAGTGATTCCAGCGACGATGAAGCCCACAACACGCCACACACCCCGTATCCCAGATACGCCAGCAAAGGGCTGCTCGGGCAGTATATCCCCGAGATCGACGAGCACCATGTGCGATCCACCACGCGCAAGAGCGCCGCATCCAAGCAGTCAACCATGCTGCGCAACCAGTTCATCACAGCCGCCGTGATCTGTCTGGCGAATGTGGGGACACTGGTCTGCTTTTGGGTGTTCTTCCCCCCAGATGAACGAGGCATCGGGACCATCCATATCGGTGACTGCGAGGAGATGACGAGCATCAATAGCGCCGCCCACGTGGCTCTCAACGTGCTGTCGTCGCTTTTCCTCGGGGCGGGGAGCTACTGTATGCAGATTCTAGTTGCCCCGTCTCGGCGGGAGATGGACGTGGCACATGCTCGTGGGGTATCGCTCGACATCGGGGTTCAGAGTGTTCGCAATCTGCGCTGGATCAAGTCTGGGAGATTATTCCAGTGGATAGGGCTTGGGGTGTTGTCGATTTGTTTGCATTTATTGTGAGTTCTTACGGTTGCTGCTCCTATGATAGGGTGAATGCTGATACCCAGCGTCTGCGCTGTTCTAGCTGGAACTCGCTCACCTTCACATCAACCCCAGTCGTGAGCTATGCAACAGCCACAGTGACGAGCGACTTCCAGACGGTAGGGCGGGATTGGGCCTTGGATCCCATCCCGCCCACTCTCTCCGGCAAGAACTGGTCTGCGGTACAGGACCTCTACACCCAAATGGCCAACTTCACCCGTCTCGACAAACGAGAGTGCATCGATGCGTACATCGACGGTCTTACAACCAAAGGACCTTTAGTGGTCGTCGCAGCCAACATTACCGCGGCGCAGAACTACAACCGCACCCTGCTCGACGGCTGGGTTACAGGGTGGGATGTCTGGAGCCATGCCCCCTGGTGGATCTGCGGGGCGTACAACCTACCGGACTACAACCGCCTGTGCACGCGTGAATGGGCCAGTACTTTTATCGATGACTGGGCGGTTGTCGCGTGGGCTCACCAGGAGAAAGGCCAGCCGGGATGGCCATTCTGGGCCAAGGTCGACTACTGCCTTGTCGGGACCGAGAGCGATATTAGCCAGCGGTGCGGACTGCACTATGGAACGCAGGTCTTTGCTGTTGTGAGTGTGTGCACACTACTTCAATGCGGCTTTATCTTGAGGGTTTGGTGGTCGTACCGCACAAAATCTGCTCGACGCGGCACGGAGAAGACTATGGTTCTGATGGGCGATGCGGTTGCAGAATACCTGGAGTATCCCGGGGATATGTCAAACTCCCAAGTGGCCCATGTATACCCACAGGTCTGGCGCCCTCAGAAGAGTGTATCATGGTTCAAGACCATCCATCGCCAGATTTGGGCAATATCGTTGACTTTGTGAGTTTCCCTCCCGCACCCAGAGGCCGAACCGATGTACAGTGCAGTGCTAACCGAGAAACAACAGATTCATGCTAGGGATAGCCGCTCCATTAGCCATACTGGTCGACTCGGTGGTCTTCTGGAAAGGCCGGGGCCTGGACATGAGCCTCCCATCCATCGTGCAACTCGGCTTCGGGCTCAACCCAGGCTTCCTCGGCATGAACAGCGAAACCAGCAACTACAGCCTGATGGAGTGCGTCTTCCTGGCTAACATCATCCAGCTCCTCGTCAGCTTCCTCTACCTCTTCTATAACAACATCCTGACGCACCAGCTCGTCGCCGACCAGTGGGTGCGCTTCCTCCGGCCGGACGGAAAGAAGGCTCTTCGCGTGTCAACCCCGCGGGGCATGCAGCGCTCGTCCTATCTGCTTTCCCTGCCCCTCACCTACTCGCTCACGCTGACTATCGCCATGATCCTGCTACACTGGCTCGTCTCACAGAGTCTTTTCGTGGTGCAGACCATTGGCTTCGACACCAACGGCGAGAAGGTCAACTTCCCGCACTTCTCCGGTTCGGCTGTCGGGTACGCCCTTCTGCCCATTGTTCTGGCAACCCTCTGCGGGGTTGTGATGGTGGCAGGCCTGCTGCTGCATTCTTTAGTGCGACACCATCATGATGTGCCGGCAGGGTTCCCTGCATGGGGCGCAAGCAGCGCTCACATTGAAGCGCTGTGCTCGGGACGGCCCTCGGATGACGTTGACGCCCATCTCTTTCCCGTCAGCATCGGGGTCGTCGTGTCGGGTCCCCAGGACCAACCCTATCTGACCTTCTCGACGGATACCGGGTTGCGCTCGCCCGAGCGGAACGAGATGCTTATGCTTCCTGCACGGATGGCAGGGTCAAAGGGTTCAAAGGGAAGGGAGCCGCGGTCGCGTCGAATGTGGGGTTCCGTGAAAACCTTGCCGCGGAGGCTGGGTTTTTAGGGTTGGCAAAGATAGAGTGGGTCTGTGAACTGGATGAGATTAACTAAAAGAGAATACCCTAAGCATACAAGACACACCAAACAAAGGTTTAATAAATGGTAACGTTAGTACTGTAAAAGCAGCACCAGGATGTTTGTCCCCCTGAGCCCTGTTTTACCGGTTTATTCTGTTTATATACTAGTAGTTTGCAGTATCAAAGACCATAATACCTGTTCCATTACTAAAATCTTTTTTTTTCTTTTTTATACCTGGAATGATCGTGTAAAGATACCAAATTAAGAAATATCATTAATTCAATCATTCTTATATGATTCTAAGTATTATTTTTTCTTATAAAGCTTTTTGAAAACCGTTATGACTAATAATATAAAAAATTATATTCTTACTATTTTTAAAAACTTTCTTTTATATACGTGTTAACAGTAGATAATGATCAGTCTTAGAAAATCTAACTTTAAAAAATCTAAATCTCTAAAATCATCGATTCAATTGAATTTTTATTATTACCGCTATAGTTTGTATAAAACCAAATAGAAAAATAAATTTTTACATATAACAAAAGCTAAACTAAATAATTTGCTATTATAAGTATAAACTGTACAAAGGTAATAGATAGAAGTCTTGAATCTGAATCAAATTAAATTTTAAAACAGTTATAAGAGCGTAAAAGATATTAAAATCAAGTGCTTTGAAGAAATTAAAGAATTATCTAGTAAAATAAGTGAATTAAAAAACATCTAATGTAATTAGAAATTGATTGCAAAATACTATTTTATGATATTAATTTTTTAAAATTATAGTTCTTTAAGCTATATTTTATCTATATATCTAAGAATAATCTAATCTAGTAGTCAATAAAAAATCTAAAGAACTACTATAAAGAGTTTAGCCAGCTAGAACTATCATTTCTATTACTTAGTCAGACTAAGAACCAGACGCCAGCCCGCACCTTGACACCTTATCTTCATCGTGATTTTAGACCAAATTTATAAAAAAAAATTAAAGTTTACTAAAACTTGGCTAATATTACCAATAATTATAAGCCTGGTTAGACCTTTTACTTTGATTTATTTAGTAGTATATACAGGAAACACAGCTTAAAAATTACTATCGAAATAGGTGCAACAGTTATATAATTTTAAGTACTTACTAAGCTATTTGGGTCGCGCGAGCACAATAACATCCATCCCTCATCTGCAATCACAATCCTTACAGGTTTATGTCGCATTTTGAGACGGCGGTGCTGTATAAAAGACCTACCGCCTCAAGGATTCATATCGCTGCACCTCTCCACCGTACTGACAAAATCGCGAGGGTCAACCGTAGTATATTCAGGTAGAATTTAGCCGGTTGTACGCTATGTTCCAGATAAACAGAAAGCTGTATAGGTTGGTGATAACAAGTTGTTAAATTACTGGAAGAGTCCTGAGCAAGGAGTGACTATTACTGTATAGGGAGGGAGTTGTTGCAAAAAAACTAGTAACAAAGAGGAAAGTATTTGCCTGAAACTGCTCATTTGTATGATCTGACCTCTGGGGTGGGGGCCCCGGTAATGCAACTCGGGCGTTTGGTACCAAAGGGCAAAAGAGACTCTAGTGGCGAACTTGCGTTTACTGGGGTTGAACGATGAGTAAAAAGAAGGGCAGATTTTATCTTCGCGGGTGTTATGTGCGCTATGGGAAAGTTGAGAGAATCTTTGGTACCTATCGTTCTTATATTGTGAGAGCAATCCCGGGGGTAAGAAAGTCCCGAAATATACTTATTAATACTACTCTGCTCATCAATGACCTGTGTTTAGCAAAGAAGACAATTAACACCCACTGAGAGGGTGTAGAATGATATTAGACAAGAAAAGGAAACAGCTCGCCGATAAGCATGGAAAATGCCATTCGCCTCCGCACAGGTGTCGAGACTGCTGGCGTTCACGCCCGTGGTTCTGAGTGTTCTGAGTAGAATCTCGTCATACCACGCCTCCGGGATCGGCGAGGTGCATTTAGTGGAGATATGATAACGCCAGTGGGGCATTGGCAAATCAGAGTTATATCTCACAGAATACGAATGCAAACAGATGACAGCACCAATCGTTGCAGGTTACAGACAGCAAGCGACCCATCCAGAGCAGCTTATCACAGGCCTTCCAATAAGCATTGGCAGTGCTATTACAGTATTGGACGGGTGGATGGGGCGACTGACTCATGTGGGCTGAAAGCCCGTTGTTTTGTACTGCCTCAGCGAGCTTCGGAATCCTTTCCTTCTAGGATCTATTGACGAGCCTCACCCAATTGAGAATAGGAGATTGCATCCCCAAACTGTCGAGTGGTTGACCCGAGTCTGTACGGTTCACCGACTGTCCGGATTTTAGGACACGGAGTTATCGTAATTCCGTAAGCACAACAAGCGAATTTGATACTTTGAAGTTTATGAGAAGAGCATCACCATGGTGGAAAGATTACGCCAAGGGATGAAGCAATTCATTCTGAGTGAATTGAAGTAGTATTTCAGCTGAACCGCCAACTCATAGCTAATATTTGACTATAGATCGTGTGGAGTGTGGAGTGAAGGGTCAGCAATGCGGCATCCTAACAAACATGTGGGGTAATATAACTCAGTTCAGGATAAGGCTAGAGGCTGGGAGTCATGGAACCCAATCAAATCACATGGCTGATTTTACTTATATCATCGTCTAAGTGATGTTCATGACTCGCAGAATCTTTCTTTTCACATTCCTTCTACTTGGCTGTGCATTTCAAAATACTGGTTGTCAGAATACATTCTTAGCTAGATGCAAATGCTAAGATATAGGTATACAGTTCTGCAACATACAACCGGTCTATTCGCATCAGGAAGCGAGAAATGTCTCGGTCATATTGCAAAGATTCTCATATAAGTACAATGGGAGTCAGAGGAACATGTTTTGTTGCTATAATGAAATTGTAGTGTAACTTAAGTCGACCAAGCCATCAAGTTTATTCTCTGGGCTCATGGCATTATTGTAAGACATGGACAGTGTCTTATCTTGCAATTTATAGCCTAAAGACCAATGATCTGCCAAATAAGTATGTATATGGAGGTATTAATTGTGATGTTTGAATAGAGTTCCGATAAAAAGCTCATATCTTTCTGTTATCTGGGAAGGATTTCTTTACTCAGCTTGAAAGATAACTAGCACCGAAAAAAGAAAGTTAAAGCGAAGACTGGAATTTGGTAAAGGAAGGATTGCAGAGCGAACGCAGTTATATCGCCTCATTGAGACTGATCTATTATCACTCAACACTTATTCTATTAGTTTTTATCTCTTATCTGCTTGCTCTACTTTGACCCCATTAGATATTAGTTGGAGACTAGTCTCGGACTTCGCCCGGGGTTATCATGAGGCAAGCATTGTACTTAGAATCACTCAGTGTACTGGTATATAAATGAACTTGAAAACCAGTATAAAGAGTCTAACTTCAAGTACAACATTCAACGGCACATCAAAATCAATCTCGCAAAAATGCTCATTTCCTTGATTTCAACGGCAGCCATCGCTGCTATGGCCGTTGCCTCGCCTCTGGAGGTTCGAAAGCACGAGGATCCTAACACAGGCTTGACTTGGATCTATAAAGATCCGACTCTGCCAAAAGTCATGTGAGTGTCACATTGATGACTTGATCTTATATTCTCTAAACAAATATGCAGGCTCTATAATACTGGAGATGGTACCATTCTGGCCGGTTCAGCTTACGGACGTTTAGACAGCATCAACTATGGTGGTGGCTCAGGCCGCTTGACTCCTGAAGGTCTGATTGCAACTGTGAGCGAAGTTCTTGACATTGCTCAAATCGCGGTTCGAAACATAAGTCATACCAGCAGCTCCGATGCAGATTCAGACAGGTTCCTGAATATTTCTATGGATGCAACTAAGCGGCTGTGCTCCCACGACTCGGACATCGTGGGTGCTGTTATGATACATGGGACTAATACCCTGGCTGAAACTGCAAGCCTCGCCATGAATCCGAGCTCTTAACAAATGCTGACTTCTTCCCCTCACAGGCTTTTGGTGTTGATCTCACGTTGAACTGCTCTAAGCCATTTGTTGCGACTGGTTTTATGCGTCCCAACTCAGCCATCTCAGCTGACGGACCACGTAACTTCTACGATGCTGTGCGCACTGCGATCCATCCCGAGGCGCGTGATCGTGGAGCCCTAATTGCTTTTAATGATCACTTGGTATCAGCTTTCTACGGCACTAAGACTAACGGCAACACTGTCTCAACCTTTTTGGCGTTGGATCAAGGGTATATTGGTCAAGTCCTTGCTGGCCAGCCCTACTTTTTCTTCGGACCTCCTATGCCTAAAGCACGCCACTATTTCGATCCATTTGCCGTTTCTCACCCTCTTCCCAAAGTGGTTGTTCTTTATGGTCATCGTAAGTCAGTGGCTTTGAATTTGTTGCCCCTATACGTACACCTGTTTAGAAGGCTTCGACGCCGGTTTACTTTATGCTGCCGCTAAGGATGGCGCCAAGTACGTATTTTTCCATAACATCTTAGAAAAACACTAACCTATACCAATAGGGGAATTGTCATCATGGGTGTTGGGCCGGGTGGGTTGAGTACAGCCGCTACTGAAGCTGCCAATGACCTTTACGCCAAGGGAGTCGTCACAGTCGCCTCGCTTCGCCCCTTCTTCGGCGCTGTGGTTCCCAACCCTCAAATCAGCAACATGTAAGAAACTTGGTTTTCAACACATACCATAATAATCAATACTGATACTTGCTACAGTATCAGCTCTGGCTTCCTGCATGGCGAGCAGTCCCGTATCCAGCTTCAGCTCGCCCTTGCCACGGGTCACGATGTTGACGGTATCCGGAAGCTGTTTGAAGGTGATATCCGCAAAGCCGTGTATACCAACGCCACCTCCTATTATAACTTTGCAACGCTGTAAGATAGTCAAAGCGTTCGTGATGCAAGAATTAACTTCAGACTGTCTTGAAGCAGGACAAAACACTATGTATATACCATATTTTGATGATAACAATACATGCGCCATATCTATAACACGCAAGAATCGGGTCGCTGGGTAGACTGGTAGATTCGGAGAAATTCTTCAGTCCCGTAATAAAGCATATTCAACTACGCGTCCACCTTTCATTGCGCAAATGTAGGAAGGAATCAGTCAAATGATGCAGAAAATAACGGCATCTCTCCTCAGTTTGTCGCCCATCAACTTATTGATTGTATTATCCCATTCCAGCCCCAAAGCACACAAGCCCATCTACTTGTCGAAAGGCCTTCCATGATCTTCCGATTCTAAGTCTGAACGGGCTTTCGCTTGACCATAAGGCATGTGCTGCGCAATCCTCTCTGAAACCCATTAATCGATGCACAGGTCTTCTCCGGATAATTTCCTGCTCGAAGCAGGCTGTCGCTCATACTAGAAGAGAATATACATCATTCAATTGTCTCTGTTCGTCTGGTGTATGCCAGTGGCTCTTATAACTTCCAATACAATGTGCTCGGCGATCATTTATATTCGTGACTTCATCCGCCAATCTGACAGTAATTTTTCACGCAAGAGCAAAGGGCTTTCTTTGTAGCTCCGAATATCACCAGACATACCGCGATTTATGAACTTCGCACCATGATTTCTGTCGTCTCAAATACATGCACTAGGATCTGTAGATATTAATCATTGAACACTAAGAGTAGCATTGCAGAACGTGAATTTCTCCCCTATTATATATACAAAAACCCAAAATTTGTCCCCAAGTAAAGGGCACGGCACCCGTGCATCAAAGAGTGAGGCAATATTTTCCATCCATCACCGAAAACAAGAGAAAGCTTCAAGAAATAATTGTAGTTTATGGGTTCAATTTTCTCTTCCGCTCCCGGCCATTGACAAGCTAGTTATTGTATGTTCTTTTCTATTCCAATTTCCTTAAATATTTTCTGATTTTATAGAATGAATCTTTTCCCCCAAAACTCTAGCATGTATTTATCTTTATTGGGTCTTGTCTCTTTTGAATTGGCCCAGCAGCATAGATTGTCGGAAAGGCATGTCTGATATGTATAGTAACAAGATACGTCTATGTATGCGTAAAGAGGTTGGTAAAGCCCTACGACATCACCTCAAAAGAAGTCGGTCGCCCGTGCGAGAGAACAGGAAACAGATAGATAACCAGAGACTTGAGCCACGATCCGAAAACAAAAGCGAGCCTACTCAAAACAGGAGGATTCAACAGGAAGTATCTATAAGCGGCGGGCCAAATGTCAAAGTCGTCTCGAGGTATAAAGTCATCGGCGTCTGAGGTCCCAGCTTTCTCGCAAAGATTGACTCTCTCCATTCCCTCATCAACTGCCCGATGGCGCTAAGGTGATTCTTGTACACCTTCTGAAGATCCAGGGAAGAGAATGTAATATATTTGGAGAACTGGTACATGGAAAGTTACCCCCAAGTGTTTATGTCGCGCTTCCCAATCTCGATAAAGCGTCCGAGGGGTGCTACGCACCTCCAGGTCTTGGCAAGAGCTTTGTCGGAGCTCGAATTAAGCACCACATCTACACCCTGACGAGCGGTGGCGCGCAAAATTTAATTTTTAGAAAGCGAGTCTTCGTCTAGAAGAGAACTGATTGTTGGGGATCCCATATAGCTCCAGAAAGAGACGCTTCTTGACGGCTGAACTCATAGGGGCCCCGATCACGGGCTAGCGGGTAGGCAGCCCGACCAACAGCACCGGCAGCGGAGTGAATGAGAATCGACTCGCCTTTTTGAAGGCGACCTAGATGAACAATACCATATAAAGCCATTAAACAGACTACGGGGAATTCCTCCATGAAGGCAGGGTGGTCAGGAAATTCAATGGTGGTATGAGCCTTGTTTCGAACCAATATTTTGAACGCTCCTGATGCCATACCACACAATCGATCGCCGAAGGCGAAGCCCTCTACCTTTTATGCAATCCGCCGCATCGTTCCCCTGTTACTCGTGTCCAATATATGTATCCGTTATCTGGTCGAGTGCTTGAACAAAAGAAAATAGCAAAAATAGCCTTCCACTTCTACGCAGGCCCACCGCATGGTAAACTTATGTCCCAGACTCTTTCGGTACCGAAAGCAAGGTAAGTGGGGAACTATGCAGTGCAAGCCGTTTCGGCACATCCTCATGATCGATGAAGATTCAGCCATCAGCCCGAATAAAACAAGTCCCTGAGCCTTGACTCAAGCCTAGCTTCTGCTAACCCTCTGGGTGGGATGAAAGAAACAGAACCGCCGATGAATCCCCGACCGGGTTTCGAACCTGATCCGGAAGGCATTGGCTGCAGCCTGGAGCATCATCCGGATAAATGCTTTCTCGGTCACCGGTGGCGAGTGGACCCTAGGATCCACCGGCTTACGCTTTCTTGAATTTATGGCTTCGCCTCTAGTGGAACCTTAAACCCTCGAACACTGATGTTATAGAATGTTCATGGGTGAGTTGACATTATGACAGGCCGCAAAAACATTGAATACGCCCTGGTGGCCACTATGCCCGTCAGCTTGCATAGTCAAGAAGGTAACTATGGCTGGCCACCGGACGCCGGCACGGAAAAGAATTTAAGCTTAATTGTCTAGGCTAGTCCTCATCGTGAGACAACTGATGAAGCTTAATTAAACCCCTGGGTCAATCGGTGGGTCTTTACCTTATCTGAAGTTCTGAAAACCAGTTCTGGACGCGCGTTCACAGCTTGGCAGTGGTGACCTCTGATCTCCCATCTAATCTCCGAATTGCACCTACACGTGTATCTCCGAGTAGTACTACAACTACCAGTACAGTACACTCCTATAAGAAAGGCTCCCATCCTCCATTTCACGGTGACTTGATCATCCAAACAGTCCTTCGCTCACTCTCTTTATTCTTTCTTTTCCTCCCATTGTCAAGTCTTCCCACCATGCGTCAATACTCGCGTGCCGCCGCGGCCGCTGTTGCTCTGGCAGCAACTGCCCGCGCCACCAATTCCTCGTCGCTTGCCACTCTCTGTACCGTCGCTCACGTCCAGTCGGCACTTCCTGCCAATGGCACTCTCCTCGGCATTGACATGATTCCCTCCTCCGTGACGGCCAAGACTGCCACCAGCTCCAGCTACGAATACTGCGACGTTTCCGTTTCCTATGTCCACACCGGCAGCAGCGATGAGGTCGTCCTCAACTACGGCTTCCCCAGCCCTGAGATCTTTGCCAACCGCTTCTACGTGGCTGGTGGCTTCGGCTACACTCTGAGCACCAGCATCACTGGAGGGCTGGAGTATGGAGCTGTGGGTGGTGCCACCGATGCTGGCTACGGCGCCCTCTCCGGTACCACCGTCGACGAAGTCAACCTCCTCGGCAACGGCACCATCAACTGGGACCCGATCTTCATGTTTGCCTACAAGGGCTTGGGTGAGATGACTACGGTCGGAAAGCCTTTGACTCGGGCGTTCTACAACCTAGACGATGAAGCCAAGGTGTACACCTACTTCGAGGGGTGCTCGGATGGCGGCAGAGAAGGTGAGTCTTACCGCTGCAAATGAACGCGGGGACATACTGATCCACTCGTTTTCTCCCAGGTATGAGCCAGATCCAGCGCTACGGAGACCTGTACGACGGCGCCGTCATCGGAGCCCCGGCCTTCCGCTACGGCCAGCAGCAGGTAAACCACCTTTTCTCCGCTGTCGTCGAGCAGACGCTCGACTACTTCCCCCCTCCCTGTGAGCTGGAGAAGATCGTGAACGCGACCATCAGCGCCTGCGATCCTCTCGATGGACGCACGGATGGAGTCATCTCCCGCTCCGATTTGTGCCAGTTGGAGTTCAATCTGACCTCCGTGATCGGCGAGTCCTATTACTGCGCCGCGACCACCAGTACCTCTCTCGGTTTCAACTTTGGTAAGCGTAACGACGGCACCCAGACTACTACGACTCCGGCGCAGCGCGGTAATGTAACCGCGGAAGGTGTGGCCGTCGCGCAGGCCATCTACGACGGACTGTTCAACTCCCAGGGCGAACGGGCTTACCTCTCCTACCGTATTGGTGCCGAGTTTACCGATGCCGAAACCGAGTACGATAACTCCACCAAGTCCTGGGGTTTGGACATTCCCTCCACCGGCGGAGAATTCGTTGGTCGCTTCATTGAGCTGCTTGACGTCGATAACCTTGACAATCTGAACAACGTCACCTACGATACTCTAGTTTCGTGGATGAACGAGGCGATGATTCTCTATATGGATACTCTGCAGACCACCCTGCCCGACCTCACCACCTTCCAGTCCTCCGGCGGCAAGCTCATCCACTACCACGGCGAATCCGACCCCAGTGTCCCCACCGCGTCTTCCGTCCACTACTGGCAGTCGGTGATGAAGATTATGTACCCCGGCCTGGGTTCCTCCAAGGCGATCGAGCAGATGAAGGAGTGGTACCAGCTGTATTTGGTGCCCGGTGCCGCCCACTGCGCCCGCAACAGCCTGCAGCCCAACGGCCCCTTTCCCGAGGACAATATGGCCACTATGATTAAGTGGGTTGAGAGCGGGGTCCAGCCTACTGGTCTCAACGCTACGGTCGATGCGGGTGCGTACGACGGAGAGGTGCAGCAGCTGTGCCAGTTTCCCAAGCGGCCCGTCTGGAAGAAGGATGCCTGGAAGTGCGAGAGCGACGACGAGGGAGCCGATACTTTCTACTACACTTTCCCTGCTTTCAAGCTGCCTGTCTACTAGATATGTTGTCTACTAGACCCCAAATGTGGATTGCTTCCAGCGCCGTATAATCCCTGGGGTATAGGGAGATTCTCCACGGATTACCCCGTCGAGCGTTACTTGGCCCATTTCTTCTTGTCTTCATTTTCTATGCGATTTCACTTTTTCCATTTACCTTTAACATCTTCGATGCTAATGTGCATCCGTTTTGTCTTACATTCGACATAGATAATATTATTGAA